TTTGTGTGTCATTTCCCCCTCCGCGCCCCCTCCCCCCCCCCATACACACACACACACACTTTGATTTTTTTTCCTCTTTGACACAAAACTACACCTGGAAATTACTGACCCTGTGTTTTTTTTAATTTTGTATTTTTTTTAAAAAAAAACACCTTTAAAAGGCCCTTAACAATAACTATGTGAATCACGTCGAGGTGCAATCAGGCGCTGAATTGGAAACGACTTGAGCTTAATTTGTGACAAGAGTTTGCAAATCTCAGCACTCATTTCGTCCAAAAGAAAAGGCACTACACTTTACACGATAACCTGCGGAGGGCTTTGATGTGTCTTCCTGGCATGAAAGGTGCTCTACCAAATGTAAGATTATTATGTTATATATTGTTTTTAATAAATGCTTTTAATAATAGCTCAATAAATTCAGGCAACGAGTAGGCTAGAATCTGCAAACCCAAACAGATCTAAACTTCATTTCGGGGAGGGCAGGATGGAAGTTTAAAACAAGACTCTGGAAAAGAGTAAATAGGAACAAATAAAAAAATAATTTGGTCACTCCCAGGCAGGCCGGACCCTTAGGTAACTTTCCTTACTCCAGATGTAAGGCAAGCAGGAACCTGGTTGTCAGTCGATTGGCGGATCACTTTTCCGAGGGTTAATAACCCCTTCCAAAAAAGAATTAAAAAAATAATAATTTGGTCAACTCAATCAACCCACGCCTGTTTGTGCGACACCGCTGTTTTGACCGCAAAATACAGTCAATCCACCTTACAGTGAATCCCACCAAGCGCTTTGAGACGTCTCAAAAGACGTAACGATGGGACGCTATATCTAATGCCAGGATTATTACACACACATATACATACATACATACATACACACACACACACACATACATACACACATACACACATACATACATACATACATACATACATACATACATACACACACATACATACATACATACATACATACACGACAGAGCTGTAAATTTAGGATTTACATAAAAATGAAGTTGCAGGAGGGAGGGATGGATTGAGTGATTGAGAGTGTGTGAGTGTGTGTTGGTGTGTGTGTGTGTGTGTGTGTGGGGGGGGGTTAGAAAGAGAGAGAGAGAGAGAGAAATAAAGAAAGAGACAGCCTGACAGCCTGACTGACTGCTGGTGATGTGCAGAGGCAGTTGGTGCCTGATGTTGCTGCTGATCCAATGCTCTGGTGGAGACGCAGGAGAGGCAGAAACTCTTGAGAACCCACTGCTTGGGAGGTGTGGGGGGGGGAGAGGGGGAGAGGGAGAGAAGGAGGAGAAGAAGGAGAAGAAGAAGAAGAGGACGAAGAAGAAGAAGAAGAAGGCAAGGAGCCAGCCAGGGGGGGAGAGAGAGAGAGAGAGGAGAGAGAGAGATGGTGAGGAGACAGGAATCCTTTGCAGCGTTAAATAGTAACGCGAGAGTTGCAACTTAGCTCTACACTGTACAACTGTCAAAGGACAAGTGAGAGATCGCGCAGCTCCAGTACAGCAGAGCCCAGGCCTGGGAGCCCCCCCCCTCACACACCCCCTCACACACACCCTCACACACACCCTCACACACTCACACACACACACCCTCACACACACACACACACACACACCCACACACCCCCTCACACACACCACACACACTCACACACACACACACCCCCTCACACACACCCTCACACACACCCACACACACACCCCTCACACACACCCACACACACCCCCTCACACACACCCTCACACACACCCTCACACACACACACACACACACCCCCACACACACACCCTCACACACACACACACACACACACACACACCCTCACACACACACCCCTCACACACACACACACACCCTCACACACACACACACACACACCCCACCACACACACCCTCACACACACACACACACACACCCTCACACACACACACACACACACCCACACACACCCCCTCACACACACCCACACACACACACCCTCACACACACACACACCCCCTCACACACACCCACACACACCCACACCCACACACACACACACCCTCACACACACACACACACACCCTCACACACCCACACACCTCACACACCCACACACACCCTCACACACCCACACACCCTCACACACCCACACCCTCACACACCCTCACACACCCCTCACACACACACACACACCCTCACACACACACACACACACCTCACACACACCCACACACACACACACCACACCCTCACACACACACACACCCTCACACACCCACACCCTCACACACCCCCTCACACACACCCTCACACACACACACACCCACACCCTCACACACACACACACACCCTCACACACACACACACACCCCCACACACACACACACCCCCACCCACACACCCCCCCCCCACCCCCCCACACACACCCCCCCCCCACACCACACACCCCCCACCACACACCCCCCCCACCCCCCCACACCCCCCCCCCACACACACACACCTTCAGGTAAGGCCCCCCTTTGGGTTCTTGTTGTTGTTTATTTATTTATTGGGGAGAGAGAGAGAGAGAGAGACTGACTGAAGGAGGGAGATACAGAGTAGCCACCAGGTAATCTGTCTCTCCTCTCCCTCTCCCCCCACCCACTCTCCCCACTCCCCCCTCTCCCCCTCTCCCACTCCCCCCTCTCCCCACTCCCCCCCTCTCCCCCCATCCCTTATCCCTTTCCTTTGCTTTCTTTTTATTTCTTTATTTTACTCTCTCGTTTGGTTCAATCCCCGATGGGGAGCAACTTCCAAGTCCAAATCATTTTTTTTTGGGGGGTGGAAGCCTCTCTCTCTCTCTCTCTCTTTCCTTCTTCCCTCTCTCCCTCCTTCCTTCCTCCTCCTCTCTACCAGCTTTAGTTTCTCTCTCTCTCTCCCTTTCTCTCCCTCTCCTCTTTTTCCTTCCTTCCTTCCCTCCTTCTTCTCTCTTTTTTTTAGCTTCTTTTAAAATGTCGCCATTTTGCCTGTGTGGTGTGTTATGTGTATGTGTGTAAAGCAATGACTGGCTGCTTAAAAATAGGGGGAGGGGGGGAAAGTGGGGGGGAAATTGAGAGAGAAAAGAGGAGAGGACAGGCTGTGGGAAAAGAGGGGGAGAGTGGGGGGTGGGGGGGGAGAGGCTGAGGGTTTCACAGGCTCTGCTGTGCTCCATGTGTTGCCTTCTCTCCCCCTTTCCTGCCTGTGGGAACCAGAGGCTCAGAGGGGGATACAATGTTGCCTGGGTCCATGTTATCAATAATAATAATAATAATAATAATCATCGTAATCCTCGCGTTCGATATCGGGCCTGGGAGAGACCCTCATCGTCCGCCACCACCCCCCGCCGCCCGCTGTTTGGCAGCCACATTTCTCCCCTTCGATTCACTTTAGGCTGACGGGGCCGGAGACGGACGTCTCTCGAACTCGCTGTAAGGCGCTCGGGCTAAAGGTAAAAGGGTCGCTGTTGTCACGACTTCCCCGACGTCTCGATAGCCGCTTCGCCTTCGCAGGATTATTGCCGTCGAGCGTAGTGACTGCGCGTGCGAGCACGTGTGGCGTGTGGGCACCGAGTGGCGTTTCCCGCAGACAGGCGTGGATCGAGTGGCTAATTTTTTTATTATATTTTTTTTTCGAAGGGGTGATTACCCCCGGAAAAGCGATCCGCCAATCGACTAACAACAGGGTTCCTGTTTACTGCTGGGTTACTGTCTATGTGTGAATATGTATGTGTGTGTGCGCGTGCGTGTGTGTGTGCGTGCGTGTGCGTGTGTGTGTGTGTGTGCGTCTATGCGAGGGGGGGAGGCGGAGGTGGAGAAGAGAGTAGAGAGAGAGAGTGGGTGCGCATTCCAACAAGTCAGTGTCACCCCACCGCACAGCCCCCTCACACACACACACACACATATTCCTGAGCACATGCACTGACACTGACCCTGTGGTGGCACAAGGTTAAAGTGCCAGATACCACATGGTTCATTGGGTGCCTGTCATGCGCACAGCACCTGCACATACACCCACACGCACACACACACATACACACGCACACAGAGACATACACACAGACATACACACACACACATTTCACACACACACACACACATATACACACACACACACACACATATGATACACACACATTTCACCCACCCACCCATACAAACGCGCATGAGCACCTGCACACACACACACACCTCACACACAAATCAAATAGTGTCAAACGCACACAAACTCTGTTCCCCCTCGCAGGGTCTGATTGCCACCCGCACCCTCTCCCACCCCCTCACGTTTGTTACCCGGTGAACGAGGATCTTTTTGCTTTTTGTGTGTGGTTTCCATCCTTGGGCGCATTCGCAGCAAGAGCTTTGCATGTGCAGTCGGGTTTCATTCGAGTCGCGTTAACAATTTCTAAGCGCACTAAACAGGGATCATAGATCCCGGTTGTGAGGTGGGGAAGAGTGGGGGTAAATAACAACAACAACTTACATTTGCATAGCGCTTTTCATGTCGGGAGGACGTCCCAAGGTGCTGGACGCTCAGTGATTTGGACCTGAGCAGGGAGAGGTGGAGGGCAGAGAAGGAGGGGTAGGAAGGTCACTGAAAGCATGGTTGCAGGGGTAGACTTACAGCAGGGCCCTGCTTATCTGCGCGCCAATTATCATTACGTCCACATCGGACTGAGGCGCAACTGAACTCACAGTGCTGCAAAATCCTAACAAAAAAATCCAGAAGGAAGTAGTGTTTTGTTACAAACAAAGCTTCACGATTATAGAACATCACTGGGATCTGCATTTTTGTAGGAACTTGAAGCTTTGGGGCTTTGCTAATATGATATGGACATAATGTTGTTCTGGACTTGAGGCACTTTTGAATGCTCCTCCTGATATGTTGGCACCAATAAATTGCCAATGATGAAATGTACCACAATGCTCACCCATCAGTTTCCAATAGGATTCGTCTCTTTCTATATGTTGGCCAAACTAGATGGACCATGATCAATATTGAAGGAGGTCAGGGATATGTTGACTACAATATTCCAAAACTCAATGGAAATGGGAATTGTGCTGAAGGCCTAGCAGGTTACAAATGTTATTCTGCGTCTTCAACTACGTGGAAAGGGGTAAGGCCAGGCAAATACATGCTTACCTCAGTTGTGGATGAGCCTCTAGCAATCGTAATAGAGATGGAATTTGTGAACACATAAAAGGCAGGGATTGATCAGGAGATTCAACATGGATTTCCAAAGGGCATGTAATGCTTCAGAAATTTAAATGAATTTTTTGAGGAAATCAGAGAAAGTATTAATTAAGGAAACACAGTTGATATATATAATAACGTATATGGGTTTTCAGAATGAATTTTCAGAATGAATATTGATTCTATGTTTGACAGAGAAGGTGCAAGATAAGTGTTGAGTTGGATAAAAGTAAGGCATTAAAGTTAAATTGGTGGCATTGGATTGTGGAGGTAAATGGTTATTTCTCAGATTGGATGGATACAGTTAATGGCTTGCCCTAGGGATCTGAACTGGGATCTCTGATATTTTTGATTTTGATTAATAATTTGGAAATTGAGATTCCAAATTAGAGGCCTGCATCTGGAGGCAACTGTAACAAACATTACCAGTCTCCCAAAATTTGTTGGAGAAAGATACCAATGAGCAACAGATGTCCTGCAGTTGAATGAGTGTTCCAGCAAACGTAGATCAGTAAAGATAACTTTTGACTAACTCCTGATGTTTCAGCTTCCACTTTGGGAATTTTTTTTCTTGCTTGTGAACGCCAAGTAATAACTCAATCACGCGATGACCTAAGATCAAATGAATATCCTATATTTTAGTGCAGTTTACTTGTGAAGTTGGAGGATTGATTTGATCATTCATGTCTGTTACCTGTTCTGGCATGAAGCACTCCTGGGTTTCCCGGGACAGTGACTCATTTTGCCTTTTCTTGAGTTTCAGTAAAAGTATTGGGTTGTAATCATTAAAGATTATTGTTGTCTTACAGAAATGGCAGATTCCAGTAAAGGAGGAAAAGTCCGCAGAAATAAAGGAGGGAACGCGAGGAGGCTCGGTGATAAAAGCAAAGTGAAGGAGTCAAAGATTCAAACCTCTGCAACACACGGTATGATCAGTGTTTGACGTTTACTCTTGATTTTGGATACTGTTGCCAGTGTCAGTTGCTGTTCGCTATGCCACAACATGCTGTTTCCGCTGAATAAGCACATGAACGGGAGCAAAGTTTGTAACTTTTATCATCTGTTGTCAAGTTGCATTTATGCCATACATTTGTAGGAATACAGCGAAAGCCTTTGAAAAAATCTGCCTTACAACAAAGTGTATTATAACAGGGTTCATCTGTTCTAAAATAATCAGGCGAGAAGCAGAGCCTTTGCTGTTCTCCTGCTAGTATCTTTAGGGTCAGCATTGGTGGAAAATAGGGCGTTGGATCAAGAGGAAAGGGTCTGAAAGTAACAAGGCCGTTCATTAATTTTACCAAACCATGCAGTGCAACTATTTGCCATTTACCATTGCTTTGCATTACCCTCAGCAAGTGTTAGTACAATTGACCTTTTGTTTTGGACACAAATCATAGAGCCCAGCGTACAGGTAACAGGCTTGCCCTTTTCGTGATCAACCTCCCCTTATTTTGTTGCTAACGTGAGGGTGGAAATGGTATGGTAAGCTGTTTACTTACTCCAGTGCTCCAGAGCCTGAGAATGCTTTGGACCATAGACAAATTGTGTCGGTGTGCCAAGGTGAACGCTGTATTCTAACGATTTGACTTGGAAAATCTTTCAATATTCAAAAATACTAAAAATCAGCAACCTGTCATAGAAAAGTCTTAATTCTGTGATAGTGATTTAGAGCTAAATATATTGTTTTGTGTGTTAATGAGAAAAAAAACCTTAGATTATCAATGTTGTAAAACTATTAGTTTTAATGGCTATTTAAATTATAACATTTTGTTATGTAATTATGTGAACCATGAATTATGCAAACTATATGAAACATTATTCCATACCCATCAGGTATGTGAATGGCTTACCTTTAATTGGCAAAGGTGCATTTTTTCATATTAATCCCTCAGTTTACAAAGATTACAAAGAAGATAAAACATGGAAACAGGCCACTCGGTCCAACCAGTCCAAGCTGGTGCTTATACTCCCCATGAGACTTCATCCACTTCTTACTCCCTCCCATTCCCTTTAAAGTATCTGCAGTTGTTAAGTAAGATGGTTGTACGACAGTGAAATCAACAGAAAACACAAACTGTACTGCTGTAATTATTTCCTCATGGAAATAAAGTATTAAAATACAAGAAATTACAACTAAGTAATAGACTGGGCAATATATTTCACTTGCTGCAGCTGGATAGATAACCACTGGTTCATAACGACCTCTTCGAGTTAAAACCAAACTGGTTAATATAGTTCAAAGGAGTTTACTTTTCTGTACAGTACTTGGTAATGCAAAGGAGCCAGTCCATAGCCTTTTCATTTTATGGTTGTTTGTAGGACTTTACTCTGCACAAATTGGCTGCTACATTCGCCTATAAAACGCACAGTCACTCACTACCTCTGAAGTGCTTTGAGACATGAAAACGTGAAAAGGTGCTAAATAAAACACAAGGATTATTATTATACAATGTGAAAAATGGTCACTTAGGTGGGATACTAAAGAGTGGTGGCCAGTGACTATTGAATTGGATACACCATGGGTCATTCCTATAGGGGGAGAGAGGGGAGGGGATAAAATTGAAGCCGGAGAAAGGAATACCCTTGTTTGTCAGTCATACTTGGCCTATGTATATTGTGTTTCCAAGCACATTTTTCTATTCTTCCTGATGAATATTTCTAGTTTAAATTTCATATTATCCTTCAGAAAAGATTACGAGTCTATAGTGTTTGTGGATATGAGTTTGCAGTTTCCACTCAAGTTGTTTCTGTGCCAAGTTTCAAGAGCCCCGAGAGTTTTTTTTTTGTCTTGGCTAAGGGTTAGGGGGAGTTTTATTTTTGTCGTTGACTCCGTGTATTGTGGTGAGATGCAATTATACCTTTTACACTGTAGAATCTTACTGGCAGCTCATTGCTCCCCAGGGATTTACTTGCTCGTATTGAATGGATAACTTGTTCAACTTTGTGGTGCTGTAATGGCCTGCTTCAGGCTGACTTTGTGTTTTGTGGGAGTCTGATAGGTGCAGTGTTTCAAAAAGAAATCACGTTTTTTTCCTACCTGACCTGTACAGCTTTTATTTATCTTTCGCCAAAAGGTGGTTGGTTCCCCCGCCCCCAAGCCCCACCATAGCAGTTGTTCGAGTCTGTGAATAATGATAGCTCCTTAATCGTAGAATTGTTCTTAACTGCTAGGACAAGGTTTGGCCTTATCTCCGTCATTATATCAATCCCTGGAGCATAATTTGGCTTTGACTGTACTGGTTCAGCATTCGTATATGCTGTATATTCCAGAATGAATGGTGGACACAGTTACACAGGACCGGGACCACATGAAGACAGTCGTGCAAGATAGAACATACATTGTATTTCAATATTTTTTTTTCCATGATGTTCGTCAATCTTCGTTCATCAGTGTCAACAATCGTAGCTTGCCTATGTTGTGTAGGGACGAGTGTTCTTTTTCAATGAACCTGTTGCGTTTAAAAACACGAACCCCATCAGTAAAGTGTTGATGAATCTGCTGAGATAGCACTGCCACCAATGCTCACTGCCTCCAGTAACCCTGGAGCCATCTTACATCCTCCACTATTGGCATTGGAGATGCCGTCAGTGGCAAAGTGGTAACGTAAATGAGATCTGAGAGTATGAAATTTCCACCTTGCTCTCACTATCTTGTTATCGCTTGCGGAATTTGCATGCTGATTTGTTTTCCGACCAAATCCTTACCATTTCTCCTGTACATTCCTTTGTTGCTTCCTCCGTTTCGCCCACAAAAAATATACAGTCAATTCACTTCACAGTATATCTTGTGAAATGCTTTGAGACGTCTCGAAGACGTGATAAGGCGCTATATTAAATGTAAGGATTATTATTGTTGTTATTATTATAGATAGATGAACGAACACCGAGTTGGTGAAGTTACTGTTTTGCATGAACCTCGGTTTCCAGTGCTGTGTCTCATAAATACCCATTTCATAAGAACGTAAGAAATGCTAGACAAAAAAAGACCAAAGTCCATCTAGTTCACCTTCCACCTTCCTGGCGGTCGCATGCGCTCCTGTGTTCCAAACTACCTCTGTGCTAAATCCCATAATGTTATTTCCCAAAAGAAAACTATCTATTTCCCATCGCTTAGTTGTGTGTCACTGTGACATTTGAGCTGAGGCCAGCAGGAAACCTGTTCACCCATTAATGTTACAGGTTATTGAATAACAACAATAGTCCCTCCCACGGTGAGTATTGTAAAACTCATATTCAGGATTCTCCTTATCTGGATGGCAGGTTACTAGACTATGCAGTACTCCAACCCCCTCAGTTCATACTTCAATAACTACCATTCAATTTTTAACACTTTTCCTTCCTTTCGCCTGGTTTTAGTCTGGAATCTAGATGATATTGATTTAATTCTAGGCGAGATTGTGGTACAATGAGGTGAGGGAGTTCTCATATTTTGTTTTCTTTTTCTGATTCTTTCATTTCTTTGTCCAGAGATTGACTTGCATAACATTTGTTTGACTTGCATTCGTGTAAGAGGAGCCATGTGAGATTTTCCCGTGGACGGAATCCTTCATATTCTGATGTTTTTTTGAGCTCAGCATTCACACTGGAGTCGGAAGTTGTAACTGTATTTTCAATCCATCTTGCCTTCCCAACTAACTCCGGTTGACGGATTTGATACACGAATGCTCTTGTAAATGCTGGAAGCTACCCTCCCTGCCTTTGAAAAAAAATTAAAAGATTACAGGATACCCCAAAGGAAGAAAGTATTTAATTATGTAGGATCTTTTGTTAGCTATTTACAAATGAACCGTACTGTTGGTCTCGTTCAAAGCACTCTTCACACATATTCTAATCCAACTGGAAAAGTACCTGATCTTAATTGGGCCAGATTGTAGTATCTTCCAGTGTAGTCACTCATTGATACATTCACTTTCATCCAGTCCCATCTCAATGCAACTGTTTTCCTCCCTGAGGCAAATGTTATGTCTGGCGTATTAGAAAACTGCTTGAATCTATGTTACATGTGACTCTGGCTTCAATTAGCAGCAATTTGTCAAGCCTCGTGATTTAGTAAATTAAGTTAGAAAGCCTAGCTTATCCTTAGAAAAAGCATTTGTTTTTAGCAGAAGTGGATCAACCCTTAATGCTTTAGAAATAGTCAGGGAAGGAGGTGTTTCTTTGTCACACAAGCACAATTGTGTTTGTTGCTGTAGTGTGTAGTATGTAAGTAATGAAACCTTTCTTTTCCTTTAGTTGTCACACCTATTGTTTGCAGTACAGCACTGAGGAAAGGATGGGGTGGGGATGGGCAGTATTAATGAGGAACTACACAAGTACATTACCCCAATTACATAATATTTTGCTGTATTTTCTTAATTGAAAATGGCAATTCTCAGGGTTTTGTGAATACTTTTGATCCGTTGCTCTTTTTAAACTCTTTCCACTTTAATTTTGCTGCACTGTGTGAGATCATTACAGATCGAGGGGAATACAGGGCAAGTTTATGTGACACTTTCAGTACTTGCCACCGTGACCTGTCTTTCATTATATCTGTATAAGACTGATATCATCTTGGATTATTGCATCGATTCAAAGGAAATCTGAAGGCATAGGATGAACAAAACTGGAAAGTCACGTGTGAATTTCATAAGATTCATACCTTAGTATGGACAAAAACAATATCTCACAGAGTTACTGTGTGGCAGATGTTATTCTGTGCATTAGAAGGAAAAGTGGATCTGTATCGCATCATTACTGAAGCATTTACTACAAACCATCATCAGTCACATTGCAATTGTTGGTCAAAACTGCAGTTACTTGCTTTGTTTAGAATTAAAAGTAAATATTTTAACATTCTTAAGCAGTGAAAAGTGAAAATAAATATGCGCTGTGTAACTAGTTGGCTAAAGTTTTCCCAGACGTTGCCTATAATGAGTTTCTTTGTGTATGTTCTTGGTGGCTTGTGCACTTTTTCTCGTGGGATGTATGCGATCAGTAACATCTTACGTATGTGGCACATAGACTTTATTTCTTCATTCCGGAGGTAACTAGTGAACTGGAACTTTGCACTGAGGCACCTGTAGCTGAAAAGGAATGTAGACAATTGTGCTCCGGCTTTGAGCCACAGTAAGTGGCAGCTGTAACCACAGCAACCTGTGCCAAACAGCACCTACCTTTCTGTGTTGCTACCACAAATAAAGCACGCCTGTGCTACACAGCTGATGCGGTGCAATTGTGAGGCACTGATATTATCATCCAGCCACCTAGTGTCTTGGTCTGACTTTAAACAGTGCCACTCTGCTCCGTTCAATAAGCATTTTGATTTTTTGTCATTTAACATGATGCGGTGAATGTCCATTTAATCCATGTAATTCTGGGAGGATTCGCGTTAATTATTTTGGGCAAAGGTTGTGCACTCAGGAAAAATTGCAAGTGTTAGCGTTAAATTTTGGGGGGCTTATTTTTTTTCCCCCAACTCCCATAGATCTCCCTGCGTCATTGTTTAACTTACAGGGCAGACTAGTCACCTGCTCCCAGACATGTACACAAATCTGTTCTATAACTGCCCTTAGAGGTGAGTAAAGCAGCTGTGATGAGGAAGTGCTAGCCCCCTGTTCAAGGCCTTCCCTGGCAGCACGGCGGAAAAAATTAACTCTCTTGCCAAGGAGATTATTCTCCTCTGTTCATTAAGTGCAGCAAATCTTCTGATGTGTACTTATCACAAGCAAATTTCTCCCACATGAAAAATTAAGGGAGCAAAATATTTGTGCTGTTATTGGACACAGGCATGATTGCCTGAGAGTGTTGAACCAGCTGGTTTATAAATAGAATGGAAGACGTCTTTATATTTTAGAGATAAAAAGAATGAATGCTGGAAATCTGAAATAAAATCAAAATGCATTTGCAGAGTTTTAGCATGACTCAATTGTAATTCAAATAAAAAGTACAATTTCAGTCAGAAAGATCAGCTGCTTATCTCTGGCACCCCTGGTCGTACCATCACTGGTTTTCTTTAGAAAATAAAAGCTTTAATATTGAGGGGCTGATTTCCTTCATCTCATCTAGAATCTGAATAAAAAGGAGCGGAGGGTAAATTGACACACGTGCAGAGCATCACATGCAAGATGCCTCCAGTCAGGTTGCAGAGAAAGTCCATTACTGATTGCAATCCAATGCTATACAAGCACAGTTGATGCACCAGGCAAAAATCCAAACGAGGGCATAATTTTGTCTTAAAACCTTCAGTCATCAAAATGAATCATATTAGAGCCTCAATTTAATCCTTCGTATCAGCAGTAGCCCTCTGTTTGTAAAGATTGCCAATGATGTTTCTCCATGTAGCAGACATGTAGCAGGTCTATGGTATTGCTTGCTACTGGTGTTAACTGATTCATTATAACTAGGCCTGAAATTAACTTACCAGTAATTTACTCACGTTCTTAATCATCTGTTGCTCTTGGGGGAAATTATTGCCCAACAACCGGTTGTACACTGTAAACAATAGTATAAGACAATCACTCTTGTCCCTTAATCTGAGCCAAGCTTTAATGATTTTAATCCTGAACTGTAACCAAAAAAATCATTGTGAAATTGACTTTTTTAAAACAGACATTGAAGAGTCATTAATGATCCACAAAGGTGTAGACATTTCAACTTTATAAGCCAAAACCTCAGCTGTGAATGAGGTCCTAGCTAGATGTGCAATATACAGCTCACTGGTGCTCTGTACTTGTAAAACAAATGGTTGCTGACTGATACTTCGGGTTTGCCTACAAATACACAGTCACTACACTTGATTGCAATTCACTTTGAAGTTGTTTGAGATGTTTATACATGTTACTTGGAGTGTACGTGGATGTACGTGGAGTCCTGTAGCTCAGTGGTTAGAGCACTCGCTTTGCAAGCAAGAGACCTGAGTTCAATTCCAGGCAGGGCGAAACCTTGGGCAAGTTTCCTTACTCCACACGCCTAATAATAATCCCTCCAAAAAAACAAAACGATAATAAATTGGTCATTTTCAATCCATGACTGTTTGTGGGACACTGCTGTGCGCAATTGGCTGCGGCGTTCGCCCACAAATATACAGTCAATTCACTTTGGGACGTCTAGAAGACGTGAAAAGTGCTATATCAAATGCAAGGATTATTATTATTAATTTTCTGTGTATCAAATGTAAGGATTATATATTAGTACTGAGTGGCATTGGCAAATAAATTATGTTTGGCAAGTCAACAGTAAAGGGGTTAATGTGTCAATATCGGAGAAATAGAGTGGGTTGCAAACTCAGTCAGACATATCAAGCCGTGATTTTGTTTAAGAGTAACATCAGAATAGGTCATATTTGTGAACCAAAAGATACATATTGCTCCCTCCGAATGAGTGACACTTGGCAGATCTAGTAAGCACGGATGCTGTAAACAGTGTGAAAAAAAATCTGAACGCTTGATTTAACGCCTTGATTTGTTTCAGCACGCAGTATATGTTCTGTTCAACTCTTGTCTTAATCCCACCCACATATGAGACAAGAGCATTTTGTGATGGTTTTTCCAGCTGCCTTTGTCTGCCTGCGCAAGCCAAAATAGTGGGTAGCCAAATACGGAAGAATTGCTTCATGGATCTTACCAACATTTTCAGCGTTTTATTCCAGAGAATAAGCTTTCAGATTTGGGATAGGTTCAAGCCACATAAAGACAGCAAAAGAAGAAGCACAGGAAGTCAAAAAGAAGTGCTTTACGAGGGAGGCGCTATCAAATTTGACAGGACAGTCAGTCTCCTTAGCTATTGAACGCCTTAAGTTTTATATAAAGATCAAGTTATGCGATCAGAAATGTCAGAAGGTCAAACCAAGTAGCTTTTGTGGCTGCCTGTGCCTCGAAAATGCACAAGGACACGTCAATTTGAACGCACTTGATTTTTATGAATGCTTCATCTGTGAAAATGTTACTGGACTAATTGTTTGTGCTTTTCTCAGTACACTGGTTACATTTGTTTATTAAATCCAGAACAGAGCTAAATATTTCTAAACAGAAAACGGGTGAGCTGAAACAATATATATATATATATTCAGCAGGCAGTGTTGAGTTTCATTTATAAATGAAATGTTGCTTCCAGAGGAGTTTAGGCCCCTGTTTGCTTTTAACAAGTTGCCAACCTTGATTATCTGTAGAGCAATAGAATTGACAAATACTAAATTAAGGGACTTGGCATCTGATGTTGCTAAAGGGAATTGCACAAACTGGTCATTCATCTCAACTGATTTACTAATGTTTCCTCAGCTAATATTTATGTTGCTGCTTCAGCTCTCACTTAGACTTTTTGGATAAGTAATAAGAAACTGTGGAGTTGTCCATTAGAGAACTAGCCTTTACACTGACTCTAATTTTACAACAATCTGAAGTGCTGTGAGAACTGCATAAGAAATATCCTTTTAACGCAAGACGCCCAAATTCCTCTTGCTGTGCAATAGGGGTGAAAATCCCATTTAAGACATTTTTAAGGCATATGGGAAATGTTCTGTCATTACTACAACAAGAGCAATAGCTTGCATATATATAGTACCCTTCACTAGGATAGAAATGCAGAGCAGGTGAATCAGCATTTGAAAGAGAAAGCCGAGCTAAAGCTCTTTTTCAAGGTGACCTTTCTCCAGAACTACACTGTGATCCAGGTGCAATTTTCCCCTCTCTCCTGCTTTCCAGAGGCACCACTGGCTCCACAACACTCCTCTATCAACTGCAACTGGCTTCTGTTCTCTAGGAACTTCCTTCTGTAATTGACCCAGCAGTTGACCCTCCAGACAATATTTACCTGCCTTCATCAGATGCTCATTGACCTACGAATATGTAGCGTTTTTGGCTTTCAGGGAATTTTAAGCTAATACTTTCATCAGCTGTTTCTTATCCTAACAGCTATTGTATTACATCTCATAATACCCCTGTGCCTCTGATTTTAATCTATTTTAATCTAATCTCCACTCGATTTTACATTTTGTGTGCGTTTGACGAATGCCAAAATAGCAGTGTCAGCTGGGAGTAGACCATTGATCCACCGATCCTACACAGCAAACTTCCAATAAGATGCAGAATTACAAAATATTTTTTTTTTTTTTTAAAAAAACGCACACAATGTTTTTCAAATAGGAAAACATTGGGGAAACCTATAGTCGTGAATAGTTTCTCTACATATTCTTAGAAACTCCTTTTCCTATGTTGCCAGAGGAGCATAAAATGCTGTAATTATCAGAGGTTTACTGTGTTCTGATGGCTTGACCTTTTCTGATATTTCTCAACAGTGCGAAAACTGTAGAGCTACCTTGTCATCTTTTCATTGCCTTTGATTTGATTTAAGAAGTGAGCAACTGTACCCAGGCCCAATACGTTAAAGGATCATTGGCCTAGTTTCTGAATCGAGAGACCGAATCTGTCACAACTGTCCCCCTGGGATGGTAATAAATGTGTTGTGCGATGTTTGAGGTTAATGTTAAGGACTGTTGTCTGAACAGTTTTTTTTTTATTGTCTAGGAACTGCTGAAAATGATATAGTAGAAAACAGTCGGAAAGGAAGCCACAAAGTGGGGAGGCAACATCTAAAGGAAATCCCAGTAGGTAGTTTGAGCTGTACTTTTATTGCAAAATCTAAACATGCAATTTTGGTGATTTCTTAGATCCAAGTTGACCTGTTAGCAATTTGAATCCAAGTACATTGTGTGTTTATGTGAGATCACACAATAAAAATGTAAAACACAACAGGAATATAAGATCGCACGATAAAAAATGTAAAACGTAATATAAAGGTAAGATAACGCAATATAAGTGTAAGATCACGCATAGTGACCATCCTCCTTGGGGGCAGGAGGTGGTGTAAGGGGCGCCTTGGAGATGATGTGCTTGGCAACAGAATATCAGACAACCCTTCTGTGGCAGTCTCAGTCCTATTCCTGAGCCAGGTGCTTCTACAGTACATCAGATCACTGCTTGTGACACAAAGCTTGGAGTCACAGGGAGCAGCTATTCCTCCCACTCAGCCCCTGTTATCCCTGCAAGCCAGAGCCCTAACGGGTGGGTGGTCCTGGCTGGACAAGTGTGGGGAAGCTTGCTGATCAATGATCTCAATGGTTTTAGCCGGTCTTGCCCAATCCCTAAATAGCTGCAAAAAGTTAGTCTTTCTCTGATGCTTCGCAATGTCCTCATCGAGTGGCTTTATGTGGACTCGGTTATAGCTGATGTTTTCATGATTCACATTTAGCACGAGGTTTATGCAGTTTTCACTAAAGAATGTTATTGCACCTAGGCAGACGTGATGGCAAAATGGAAAGAAGAGTTCAAGAAGCAGTCCAGAGTTAGGTGTCCATGCTCTGGCTGCTGGCTGGACTTCCCGAGCATTTATGGATTGAAGTACCATTACCAACGCTGTCAGGGGGTAAGGATTACTTTTCTGTGGTTGGGAATCTCCATATATTTTACAAATCAGTTGTGCTTTAGGGCTTCAATTTCGCCCACAAAATATTCAGTCAATTCACTTTACGGTATATCCTGTGAAGCTCTCTGAGACATCTCGAAGACGTGATAAGGCGCGATATCAAATGCAAGGATTATTATTATTATTATTATTTGGTAATGGTTGAGTGATTGTGCTGGTTTACCAAATTTGAACGCAGGCTGGGTTGACGGAAGGGTGAAGTGAGCCTGGTAATCTTTCAACAGCTCTTCGGATGAGTAAAGCAGTAAACTGTGGTGCGCTTTATGCGATTCAATCACAATGTTGATGATTTCTGCAACCTGCTTTCAGCGACTTAGTAACCAAATGCCTGGTCACAGCATTGTGGAATCAGTGATGTAGTCTCTGTCAAGCTCAGCTTGTTTTTACCTGGAAATTTGAGACGTCCGCCGGCATTCAGCTTCCAATAATGACATAAGGTGTGATTGAATGTTTAATAAGGAATAATATAGTAGTCCTCAAGGGTGTTGAAGCACTATGGTAATGTTCATTAGTTCATGATTTTCATGAAAATATCTTTCAGGCTCTTTATTAATATCGGACAAATCATGTATATAATATATATATTAAGGTAAGAGCACGCTTAGATTCACAAGCAATTTTTATATTATCACTGTGATGATTACAATGTTGATTGTCACCTATTTTACCTTTTTTTTACATTTCGCCCACAAAATACAGAATCACTACAATTTACAGCATATTCTGTGAAGCGCTTTGAGACGTCTTGAAGACATGATAAGGCGCTATATCAAATGCAAGGGTTATTATTCAATGTGAAAGGGGACAAGCTCTCAATTAGTATTAAAGTTACAAATATGGAGCAAACTGTTACAATACTGCGCTGCTGACTAGGGTCAGCTGTTTTTTCTTCACTAGTTACCCAGTTACTTTATGGAGCATTACTTTGTTCAAGTAACTTCACAAATCATTACAGTCTTCCACGAATAAACATTTGGGGAAGTCTATGTCGTTATTTTTAGAGCCAATCAGTATTTTATTCATATCTATTTAAGTGTTGAGCGCCTACAATGCACTCTCCTGTTTTTGTTTGACTTTTCTCTTCCCGCATTGGCACTATTTCTGCAATACCTTGGTGTAAGCTTATAATCTGCTGACTGAAGAATTCTCAATGTTGTTTTACAATAGAGCCCTAACTCAGAGAAGTGTAATCATCAGTGTCTACAGTGTGAAGCTTCATTTGCATCTAAATCGCAACTGGATAAACACAAACTGTGGAAACATAAAGAAAAAAGAAAACAAGCCACAAAACTGGATGACAATGTTACAAAAACAGTTGGTCGTGGTAGAGGTAAAAAAAGGTATGATCATTTTGCAGAAAGCAAGCAGTACCTAATATGATAAGGAGATCAGATCTGTTTTAGAAACATTTCCATAACTATCTGTAACGTGTGATTTGTGCAGTTTAATATGTATCCTGTTGTATGATTTTGACATATGACCAGATCAGGTCTCATTCTGCTTACTTTACTTGAGAAATATCACGTAGTACCATAGGGATTTAATATAAAATTATTAAAAGTGCATGTAATAACTTCATAATTCAAAAATATTTCTAAACCTTCCTTTCTTTACTTGGATTTTTAAAAAAAATCGAACTGGGTATTCAAGTGGTGTGCTTGCAAAGGCACACAACTAGTTACTGAGCTGATATTGTATATCAACTATTTTGCAGTGCTCGCAGAAATATATACCTCATAATATAATCAATTGGCGGATCGCTTTTCAAGAATCCCTGCAAAAAAACGAATTTGGTTACTCAATCCACGAGTCTTTGTGGGACACTGCAGTGCACAATTGGCTGCTCAAAAATACAGTCACTCCACTTTACAGTATATTTTGTGAAGCGCTTTGAGACGTCTCAACCACGTGATAAGGCGCTATATCAGATTCAAGGATTATTATTATTATAATAAGGATCCGTGTGGCAGCAATGTGGAACAGTCGGCTAGTTGTATTTTGGAGCGATCAACATTATAATCGCTAATGGATTTGATTGTGTTTCAGGGTGATCGAGAAGGTAGAATCATCACCACCGAAGTCTAAGCAGCAGAAGAGGGAATTAAGTAGGCACTCTGAGAACGGGGAATGCGTAAAGAAAAATAGAAGCCGCAAATTAGTCAATACTGCACAAGCTCAAGAAGAAACTCAGAGAACTAATGAACTGAGCAAAGGCAACAAACAGATATTCCCAGAGGAAGATCCTGAGCGAATGAGACACAGTAAGCCTCTGACAACTGCTGATAGTTGTTTGGAATTAAACATTTCAACACAGTTGCTTGGATGTGAGGGCATAGAGACAAATTTAGAACCAATTTCGACACTCCACTTGCAGTGCAAAAATAGTTTAATTTACTCTGATGTTCCGAAAAGAAAATCACGGGATACAAGGTGACTAAAACACAAACGGAGTTCCGCCCTGTTGTCCCCGGGTTAGCATTCCCAATAGATTTGAAGTTGCACCATTCCACAATTTATTTACTCCTCCCGTTAAACATTAAAGGAAATATCCTTGTAGTCTCTCTGACAGAAGTTAGACAGTTAGGCCATTTTGTGTGCAGACTCTGGCCAAGTGAGACTGAACAACCCAAATTTAGCCAGTTTTGTGGTTGCTACTACCGTACAAAATGTTGTGGGATCGTACAGTTAAAGCAATAATCAATGTAAGTGGATGCTTTGTAGTAAACTAAACATCAGCTGGCGGAGACGACATTTCAGAGTTCATCATCAGCTTTCCAGACTGTTCTGAGCTTGGTGGAGCTAGATATCACCGCGAATCAATCAGACCATTTCACAAATATGTTTGTCTTCTTGATAGCAACTTGTAGTTGAAGAGAAGTGTAGATCTATGGTTGGACGTTTGGCCTGCCATAAGTTTAATATGTCTCTGAGAGCCGTATTAGTGGTATTCCAGCCCTTGTGGTACGTTGAATAAGCATGACTTTGCAAAGACTCATTTGAAAACTTAGAAAAGGGAGAGAAAAATAAATCTTTTGCAGACAATAACTCCCTACTTTTGTCCCTAGTATTGATTTCACCTGTCACTTCAGCACATTTTTTCTTTGTAGCCCCCTACACAATACAAGGTCAATACATATTACAGTAAATCCCGTGAAGGGTTTTGAAACATTTCTCCTGATGTGAAAGATGCTATATCAAATGCAAATATTAATAACAATTAATAATAAAAGTAAGACCTTTGATGCTAAATGGCAGTAGAAAGCACAACACACAGATTTGGTTTTAAAGATAACATGTTGTCAAAAGTATTTCCTAAATCTTACAATAAATAATGCTTAGGTCAAATACAAATTACTGCTAAAAATTAAATAATTCAGTCTGATATTTTGCAATGATTTGTTTGAGCCAGGAAGGAAACAGAAGACACCAAAGAAGTTCACAGGGGAACAGCCATCTATATCGGGAACCTTTGGATTAAAAGGTAAACCAATAGAGAACATTAAACTCAATATGTAGGAGTTTGGGAAAATTAGTTTGGGAAAACATTTTAAAGGATAAATAGCAAATAGCGGTAAAAATTCCAAATCTGGATATAAACTGCTGTAGCAGGACAACTGGAGACAGGCACCCAAAGAGTTGAAAGTGGCCTTAGATTTAGCGATATGTAGTTTAAACAGTAACAGATTTCAACTATTGTTGATAATTTTTCTTATGATTTGCTGAAGTATTGGAAATGAGTGACGCAACGACACTTTGTTGACGTAAGTAGATGATGTAAATTTGTTAGTCTGTTCTGTTCATCTTGTTTGTTTTACATGCGATCATCCAAAAGCAAACCTATAAATTCAATATACCTTGTTTACACTGGAAGCTATTGAGACTCCCTTGTTTTTGGAGATTGTGAAATCAAGATTACTTCACTCTGCCTGCGATGATCCAAAAGTATGAGGAAAGAAAGAATCTAGGTTTAAATGAATAATTGATCTTGTAATTATACTTTTTTGTTTCCTCCATCTATGAAATAAAAAGATGACTTTAATTAATTCATCTCTTACTGTTCATTCATCGAACTTGTGTATTTTCCTGTGGAAATTACTGTTAAAAAAATAAGATTTCTTGTGGATAAAGCGATTAAGGGATATGGGGATAAGACGGGTAGATGGAGTTAGAATAGATCAGTCATGATCTTATTGAATGGCGGGGTAGGCTCGAGGGGCCGAATGGCCTACTCCTTCTCCTAATTCTTATGTTCTTATGTTCTAAAGCTGAACAGAGCAAAAAGGAGTTAGTTAAATATGAATGTGATGAGAAAATGATTGCTTTTTTTTTTTAACTTGATGTTCATTAAACTCTCTGAATTAATGCCGTTGTTTGTGAAAGGTCTGTCAAAATCTGACGACAAGGGAAGGGATAGAAGCAAGAAGAAAAATGGGACTACTTGCAGTGAAAACCTGCAAAGAAAAACGTTGGGAGCGCACTTTAAAAAGGAAACAACCACATATTTGCCAGGTAAATTCAGTGTAAACAGTTTTTTATATGCAGTCTGCATTGAAGCACTTCCCAAATCAATCTATACTTCTAAGCAGGATGATATAAAACAGCAGCTTTGTTTGATAATCTGATATCTTTAATACAGTTCCGTGCTCTTTCTCTTAAGTGATTAGGCATGATTGATTCTTGTATCGCTGACAAGGGATTATAGACCTTCAATTTCTTTAAAGGCACAATTTCGCAGGACTGGTTGATGAATTTTTTAACATGGAATAATATCAGGAAAACATGGTCGCAAAATGAAGTGCACTGAGCCTTCATAACGGATAAGAAAAATACTTGTTCGAAAGACTAATGTTTTCCAGCCACATTACTTGCTCATTCAAAGTGCAGTGAAAACCGAGAAATCTGGGTAAATTGGGTTGCTGAACTCAGAATCATTCCATTAAGTAAAAGAATTACAATAAAATGTAATATTATTGAAAATATTCTTAGATGTTTTATAGTCAAACCTATTTCTGGTTTATCTTATGCTTATGAATATGTAGAGTTCCTGCTGTATTCTAATTTGCTGAGAATCTGTGGTTGCACAAGAATAGTTTTTGTTCGTCGCACAAATGCATAAGATGTGGCTGGGTCTATTTTATCACAAGTTAATGGTTTTGTTATTCACTGCAAGCAGAAACTCTGAACTGACAACATGACAAAAAATGTTGGGATTAGTTTCTTTTTACCGTGACTTGCACTGAAGATGCATTGGAGGAGGAAACTGTTGCATTCTTATGTAGACGTTTCCCTTCCTCCATGCCCTGTGTATCTGCATTGAATACAAATTAAACCAGGCAACATTCTTCAAACCGAACGCGTTCCTAGACGCACCAGGATATGTAAAACGCGGCACTCTCATTTTAAGCGCACATAATCAAAGTTGTTAAAATTTGCGGCAAAGGGAATTTCATCCCAAAATGTCTTGTGTTTTGATCAAAATGCCCAATTTGTTAACACGTATGATAAGTATTAATGGATAAATAATAACACAGAGCTGCAGTACTGCAGTAGTTGAGCTTATTGCAAAGACTGCAAGTATGTGCCACATATTGATTCAATCTTTCACAGAAGACCCTGTCAGTCACAACACAATGTGCCAAATGGCCTTCCTCTGTGCTGTAAATTTCCATTTACAGGTATTATCAGTATGATTAGTGGAACTCAATAAGCAATTTGACAGTGAATGTTTGGAAACATGATATAAGCAGTTAATACTTTGAAACTAGGATATATTATTTTTTTACATTATCCTAATACTGCTGAGAACAGGAAGCCAGGAAGAGAAGTGGCATCGAGCGATTGCAGAGAAGGGTGAAGTTATTTGTCCAAACTGTATGACTGTCCACAGAAAAACGGTAACTGGTTTAAAGAAGCACCTGGAAATCTGCAAAGAGGTACATGAGATGATTTTAAATTATTTTTCTCACAGCCCCAACATTAATGGTGTTTCTAAGTACAGCCATTGAAGAATATCATTAAGATAACTTGCATTTAAAGGAGAAGACTTTATTTGAGATGGTACTTTGATGTACTAATTGATGAGTTGCAATTTTTTTAATGTATACTTTAGATATCCCCAGTTACTTGGCTTCTTACTGCTGTGTACACAGCAGGATAATGTAAGCTATGTCATCTGCAGTGCATTTACTTAGAATCACTGGTGCAATTGCTTACGAGCAGGTTTGCAGTCTTATTTACGAAGCAATCTCTTTTTTTCCTTGCGTAAGTTTTTATTTACATAAATGTGGTTAATCCTTTGATAATCCTTCAGTACGTTGCAGTATTTTTCAGCAATTTTTAAAAAAATGTAGTATATCACCTTCAAGTGACTGACTGTGTCCCAATGTTTTCAGCTGCAGGATGCTTTGAAGTGTCAACACTGTGACAAGCAGTTTAAATCGAAAGCGGGGCACAAATATCACACTATGGCTGAGCATAACAATAAGGTCAGTGTGCAGCTTCGAGATTCAGTACATAAGAATGAAGCTCACATCCCACTTTGACGCATGATATTTTTTATCTAGTTCAAGTCTCAACATCCCTATTGGGACTTGAACTAACATAGTCTGAGGTGACACTCCAATGCAATGCTGAGGGAGGGTGGGGAGTGAGGTGGGGAGGCATTGCCGGAGGTCCCGTCTGCCTGTTCAGGTGGACGTTAAAGATCCCGTGGTACTATTCCAAAAGGGAAGGAAGTTTCTCCTGGAATCCTGACCAACAATCCCCCAGATCAAATTGGTCTGTGCGTGGGATATTGCTGTGTGCAATTGTGCTGCCATGTTTTCCTACAACTACACAGTCAATCCATTTCACAGCCATTCCCTCTCCAAAAAGAATATTTTTTAAAAAGAAAGTCAACCAAAAACGTCTTTCCAAAAATCAGAGATGATAATGCTTCTGATGCCTATTTTCTTTCTGACTGTTTTACTGGAACCGATGGAATAATCCTGTGATTATGTAGTATTCCCACCAATATTTATTTTACTTGGCACGGGCAAATATTGCATTGTGTAATCATTTCTTTTGGTATTTCCCATTGGAAACGGTGAAATAACAATAACAGCTGTATAAAAAGGGGGACTTGGAGATGTTCCTATTTCCCATTTTGATTATGAAGTGTTTTGAGATGTCCTTCCTTCGTGAGAAGGCCCCATACCAAGTGCAAGGATTATTATCATCATTATTATTATTAATAATATTTATTTGCTTCTCGTAGAACCTCTTTTATTCTCATGTCATCTCTTACAGCCTGTCATGAATGCAGAGAAACTACTGGATGAACAACAGGAACGTGACAGGCTGAGGAGGGTTCTTAAGCAAATGGGAAAGCTGAAATGTTCCAATGAGGTTAAATACAATCGTAAATAATTGGATTAAAACGTTTGCGTGAAGTGATGCACCTTAATTGTGGAGGGTTGATATAAAAACAGGAGATCTGCCCAGTGGCGGAGTCAGGGGGCTCATGCTCTCTCCCCCCCCACCCATCGCTTTGAGGTCAGCCAAAGTCAACCCAAACTGACTCACTTACCTGTACTTCGTCATGATCTCGTTACCGTTTTCAACCACCCACAGCCCGGCCACTGACTGACTGGCAGCTCTGGCCGCCAAACACAGCCCCTCGTCCCACCCCCTGATCCCGACTGACAACCAACAATCAATCAAAGGCCAGATGCAATAATCCTGTGTTTATGTCGTATTCCTACCAATATTTATTTTACTTGGCAGCAGGAAATATTCGTGTTGTGCAATCATTTTCTTTTGGTGTGTCCCATTGGAAAACAGTGAAATAACACTAACAGCAACAGCTGCACTGCAGAATGAAAGGAGGACTTGGCGATTTTCCCATTTCCAATTTTCATGATGTGCTCTTTGTAATTGCTGCCTTTTCTTAGGGCTGCACCGCTACATTTGCCAGCCTGATGGGTTACCAGTACCACCTGAATAGGTGTGGGAAGGAATCTGCCAATATTGAAAAGGCTGCGTTTCTTTGTGAGCAATGTGGAAAAGAGTATAAATCTAAGGCTGGACACGATTACCACGTGAAATCCGAACACACGGCGGTAAGGTTTCTTGATTGCAAGATAACTTGCTGGTTCAAAAATGTTTCGCTTCCAATAGGCTTTCTTTCAGACAAGGTCCAAATTACATTCTTCTGCGCAACTAATTCTTTATAAGCAAAATAAAAACAAAAAATAATAACTTGGTCACTCAATCAACGACTGATTGTGGGACACTGCCATTGGCTGCTATGTTTCGCCCACAAAATAGAGTCAATCCACTTTACAGTACATACTGTATACACAGTATATGTCTCAAAGATGCCTCAAAGGTGCTATATGGCACTATATCAAATGCAGGGAGTATTATCATTTATTATTATATATAAACTGGATCTCTAATCATTGGTGAGTTTGGGATGAATTAAGTCACATGAAATGTTCCCAATTCCTTGAGGAACAATATTCTTCTAGCCCAAGGAATACCAGTCTGAGATGCTACTCTGCATGATAAATGCAAGTTGTTGTTGTCTCTTCTCTTCCTCATTCCGTTCAGTCCATTGCTTTTTCTTTATAAAATCTGATTCATGAACTTCCTTCATATATTTATCTTTGTTTCTAAACGTTCATTTTTCTTCCTTCAACACTTACTGCCATGTTCCAAATGTTTTAAGCATTGAAAAGATGTTCTATTCGTGTGAATCAAAATAATAAAATGTTAAGCACAGAACCGAACATAAAATCTCCATACCAGCCAACTTGTATAATCCTGTGCTCTTGCTTGCTCCAGTCTCTGCTTGGTGCCTCCATAAAAATTATTCATAGGGAGGAAATTATTAACTGGGGGATTTTTAACATGGCTGAGCCACTCGCTCGCTCACTGAGCTACTTTATGTGTGTACAATACAGTATAAAATTACATTCGTATAGCGCCTTTCACGTCGGGAGGATGTCTCAAGGCGCTGAAATCAGTGGAATTTAGTTTTACACTTAGCTAACACAGATCACAAGTTATGTACCTTGGGGTGTAAAGGCCTGGGATCTCTTAATAGAATTCTTTAATCACAACTCCGATTCACAATGGGGACTCCCTTGATCCAGAGAGCAAAGATAAAGAAAAGTTATTTGAACAAATTAATTACAGATTAATGGGCAGGCGGCAACTTGTTCTCAGGCCTCCACCACTGATTCTCTAATCCAGCCACAAAGATGCATGGGAGAGTGGCTGGATGATAGTTCAGCCTCTGATTTTACATATTAACAACAACAACTTGCATTTATTTAGGGCCCTTCACGCTGGATGGTGTCTTAGAGTCCTTAACAGTGGTGGAGTCCTTTGCCGAGCCATATCATGGAAATTTGTTGCCCCTGTTTGTTTTTCCCACCGTAATACAGGGATTAGCAACGCATTGCTGCCGGGATTTTCAGAATGGATCATGGGTTTGAAAGATAACATTCATTTTGTTCTTTAAGCTTCTTAAATAATTGTACCTGTAATAATTATACTTTGGCCAGAACAAGGTTTTCTTTGTAAAACCGAGACAAATACCTTGCAACCCTAATTTAATTTCTGACCGATCCTAATTTGAACACTTCTGACCATTAATAAACTCAACAAAATCTGCTTATCAAACACCATTTGCATCATTTTCTCTTGTCATCCTGTTCGCTTCTTAAAGTCCCCGATTCGGAACATGGCCGTGTCTCTCTGGAAGCAAGATATTCTGTCTTGCAGATATTAATACACGTTGTATTCAGTTGTAGATTGTAAAAAGCTGAAGAAGGCAAAAATGCAGTGAGAATGTGTGTCCTGATAATGTCTGTGCAAACTGTTTAGGTAGCTGAGGATTCTGATCACAAATCAGTCGAAGAAGATCTGGTGGACTTCTTTGAGAAAACCCCAAGTGGTCGCATTCGACGCAAATCTGCACAAGTGGCTGTCTTCCACCTGCAGGACATTGCAGAGGATGAGCTCTCAAAACTTTGGACCAAAAGAAGAAATAAAGATGACTTAGTACCAGACATTAAGAGGGTAAGTCCATTGCCTTTCATTGCGGGCAGTGTATGAGAAGTACCGAGAGCTGTTCTGCGTAGTCTCGGTTGGTTTGAGCATTGGACTTAGCAGCAGAAGATTGGAATTTTGAATCCCAGAAAGTCGTTGCAGCCCATCAGTAGTTCTGAGTTTGATGAAATGATTTCCATGTCTACAAATGATAATAATTTGGTCACTCAATTCACGACTGTTTTTGGGACTCTGCTGTGCACATTTGGCTGCCGCATTTCGCCCACAAAATATACCGTCAATTTACTTTACAGTATATTCTGTGAAGTGCTTTGAGATGTCTCGAAGACGTCTCAAAGACGTGATAAGGCGCTATATCAAATGCAAGGATTATTATTAAAAATGCCAGCTTTCCCTGAGGTTGAATGGCTTTGAGGAGACGCGTCTAATTTGTCTGGCTCCTCAATGAAACTTGCAAGTGTAGCTGTGATCAAAACTCTGGAAACCAAACTGCAAACTGACAGGTAGGATGGTTCTTGCTGTGAAAAGTTACTGTACTGAGAAACAGACGAATATTTTATGTTAGTCAGCTGAGTAATTGTCACCTGTGTTGTGTGTAAAATGATGTCTAAAGATCTTCAAATGAACATATCATCGTAGCTACATCTTTTAGATACACTTGATATAATCAACATGTTCACTTTGAAGCCTTTTTTTGACATCAATGAGAGTTTTATATTTTTATTTGATGTTATAATACATACAGCTAACAGGTAACTAACTGAGCAAAGACGCAGATTGAACCTATTTTGTTTATCTTAGTAGCGCTATGTATATTCTTTTACTCTTGATGTTTATAAACCATTGTAGCTTTTCTTTCATCATCAAAGATGATTAATTGAAACATGGTAATTCACTGTCAGCCATTTACACCCCTATACTTATCTCTTCGTTTGGGTTGTTTAAACATATCCTGCTTCTTTTGAAAGATGGACACAAATACTTGTATAGTTTTCAATTCCAGCTCACCAACATGGCTCAGGCGAGACTTGTTTTTCCCCAGTCATTGAGACATACACAGTATAATTTTCCCCTAAGGTTGGATATTGTATATTCCCGAGGGAATCGATTCCCAGCTGAGAGTCACAGTGAATAATGGATTTGAATGACGTTTACTACAGACATCCAGCTGTGACAGCATCAATTCACAGCAGGAGTTTAACTAACAAATTGCCAGACTTCTTGGACCAGGCCATTTTAAATTTATTTTATTTTCAGTATAAACGGATGAACGGTTGACGGATGAAATCCAAAAGTTTAAGGGAATGATTTGAGATTTCAACGTAGCTGGATCATTAAACTAAACAATTGTTCGGTAGAAATCTCCCTTTCCTGGCAGAAAATAGGATAAAGGAGTTTTTTTAAAAAAAGAATCGCATTATAATAGTGAGACAAAAATCTGTGCAATCAGCCTTGATATCAAACAGCTTCACCTTGCTGCCTAATGTGTAGACTGGTTGTTCAAGCGCTCAGGGACACTACCACACACGAAGGGCGCAAAATAAATGCAAATTGTTGTTGTTGTTTGCTGTTGAAGTCCAGTTGTATACATTTTGTTACCTGGATCTTTCTCTTTCCAATTAGCTGAAGTATACCCGACCAAGGCTACCAACCTTCAGTCCCAAACAACTGGAAAACTGGAAAAATGAGGTCAAAGATAACGGACACATATTCTGTCCCAACAATGTAAGTCATTATAGCAAAGAGTTTCTCAAGACGCTTGTTATATATTTTGTTTGCAGTAACTTGTCCGTCGCACCATGGTTTTATCCCGGTATCTTGCAGCGGGTGAGAGCGGAGGCTTGCTGTGAACAGACCAAGAATATTTTAATGACATTGAAATATTCCAGGGGCTCGATGCAACAAAGCATTTAAAAAAAAAAGCCACAGCTCTTGTCAATCACTATATATAGGGATGATGCCTCTCACAGACTGCAGAGATCTCTTCAACCTTTTGCAGCCAGTGTTGAGATATAGATGCTGCATTCAGTCTTTCAGTAGAATATAATAACTCAACAAAATCAATATCCTGTGAAGTGACATCTGAAGTGTGCTCTCAGAATCCAGAACAGTAGATCCTGCCATCAGGAATCCAAGCTGTTGGCAGTATATTGTATTTTCGGCCAACTTTGGGTGCTGCCATAATTCAGAAGCTCGCGGTGGATTTCTAAAGGAGTTTTAACAATAGTCTCAATAAAGAAACGCACATTGCGAAATGTAGTAATTTTGACTCCCAATTATAAGCGCTGTGTTTTTTAGTGTTTGATTTTCTTTGCCTATCCCTCTTTTGCAGCGTTGTGAAGCAATTTACTCCAGCTTTTCCGGACTAAAAGCTCACCTTGCAACATGTACTAAGGTGAGTTGCAAAGACACGTCTTATTGGCAAGAACATCTGTAAATAAAGGAGCTTTTACAACCATGGTATTTGAGCGCTTGCCAGCGTATCATTTTCCAGTTAACCCCATCACTCTTGAACCATGTGGTGTTGCTCTTGAAAATTTTCTCCACTACAAATATCAGACTGTCGTATAATAATAATAATCCTTGCATTTGATATAGCGCTTTTCACGTCTTCTAGATGTCTTGAAGCGCTTCACAGAATATTCTGTAAATCCCCTGATAAATACAGAGTATTCTTGCCTGTAGTGCTGTGAAAGAATGTTAAAACAATTTATGACTATTTAGGCAGAAGATACATTTGCTTGCAACTGTCCAGTCCTTTTATTTGACCTTTTTTCTGTACATCTTGTTTTCCCCAATTTCCTCTCATTTGCGGTCAATGAACCCTGGACCACAGCTGAGAACACGGGTAGATGTCCAGCAGGTGGCACTTAAGTGTAACTTGATGGGAACCTTTCCAAGTTTGTCGTTCATGTCGAGTGAGCTTGACTCCCCTCTGTTCAGGTTGATTGATAGATAACTCTATAAGAAAGGTGCCTTCACTGGTAAATCACCACTGGACAACATCAGTGCAATAATGTGTGAGACTGATCCTACTTCAGGAACTGGAATAGCAAATGCATGCTATGTGCCTAGCTGTTGTCTAAGGCAATGCAGCTAAGATCAGGGACTAAACAGAAATAAGGAGACAAAACTGTGTCAGTCCAATGGGTAGCATCACCTAGTACTCGCGTGTATCGTTTGATATTATACTGATTTAATACCTGAAATGTGATCATTTTAGTGCTCTGTTAAAAAATATTGCTGCTGAGATTTAATGCCTTGTTTCATGACAGGGTGATCATTCAGTTGGGAAGTATAAATGCTTAATTTGCCAGAAGGAGTTTAGCTCGGAAAGCGGAGTTAAATACCACATCAACAAATCTCATTCTGAGGTAAGATGCTATTACTTTACCAAGAATTTCAGGGGCTCAAAAATTGCACAAGTGCCAAGAAACAAAGTAATTATCAGTATGAATGTGACTATTTTCTAGTTTTGTTGTATCCATTTTAACACTGAACCCTCGACTGTGGTGAAACTGGTTTGAATTTAATGATTATATTTATCATGATTAAACAACAACAACAAAATTACAACATCTTTTACGTCGGGAGGACGTCCCAAGGCTCTGGGCAGTCAGAGTTTTGGACCTGAGGTCGGGTTCGAGGTCAGGGAGGGTGGAGGGTAGGGGGGGAAGTAGGGTGATCGAAAGCCCGGGCGAAGAAGAGGGTCTTGAAGAAAACAAGGTGGAGGGACCGCAGGGGGCGAGGTGGAGGGACTGCAGGGTGGAGTTCCAGAGGGTGGGGGCAGAGTGGCAGAAGGCCTGCCCGCCAATAGTGGGAGAGCGAGGCATGGGACGTGAAGCAGGCCGGAGCCTGCTGAGCGGAGGGAGCGAACAGGGTGGTGGGGGATTAGGAGGTCGCAGAGGTAGGGGGGAGCAAGACCATGGAGGGCTTTGAAGGTGAGAACCAGGATCTTGAACTATATTCTCAGTGTGATGGGAAGCCAGTGGGGTCAGGAGAGGATGGGGGTGATAGGGTCATGGAGCCGAGAACCATCCACTTCCAGATTAAAGGAAAGAATTGTCCATTTACAGTCAAACCACAGAAGATGTGACAAGATTGGAGCACATGGAGCACACATGTCCGGCCATTGTGCGTGGGAGAGAAAGAAACCTAGTAAGGTTAGGGCAATCAAGCCAGCCTGATTAAGATTTATGGGTTCTTCTGTTAATATAGAGTTGATGCTAACTTTGTATCTGGCTGTAGATAGGCACAGGCTGGAAATTGTGTTCCACTATCTAACTATAATCAAATTGAAGTTTTAGATTGGCAGTGTATCGAGATAGTCAGTGACATATATCCTTGAAGTAATACAACCGGATGATTATATGCTAATGAAATGATTATTCCTGTTAATTTTTGAAAGACAATAAAAGTAACTTGAAAGAAGTCAAGATTACTCTGCTGACCTTTTCTCCCAGGATAAGCTTAAGCTTGGCACATGAGCTGTTTAGCCTTTGTACAGAACGTTGGAACACAAACAGTGCCTGGCACCACACTGTTAACTCCAGCTCCATTGCTATGCAGTAGTCAGCCACTTCCCAGAGAAGCAGGGTGGGGAGATGTGTGTGGAGGCAGATAGATCTCTGGGCTACCAGGACATATTTCTTTGTGATAAACTCAAAGCAGCATTGGAAGAGGCTTGAGAGCACCAATTGCACACCTCCTCATTTGGCCAACAAAAATGCCGAATAACTGAGAGATGAGAGAGAGAGAGAGAGAGAGAGAGAGAGAGAGAGAAATTAAAGGATTTTGATAACCTCACAAAGTTATATTAACAAAAACTCAGATTCTGGCACAATTGGTATAATCCACCATCCACTGTGGCACCCAGTCGGGCGAATCAGTTTCCATCTGAAGTTTGTGCTGAATTAGCCGATCTCAGTGAGAAGGGGAGCCTGGACTAGACGGGGAGAGAGATCAGACAGAGCTCCCATTTCTGATTGTGTCAATTGCACAAGCTCTAATGCTTCCCCCGCACCCCCCACCCTCCCGTCACTGAGCCTGTACCTGCTACCCCCTGTTTAGGCTCGCACCAGCCAAGCCAAAGGCAACGAGGCTGAGATACAAGTACCCAAGGAGTTACATCAGCAATAACAGGGGTTTCGGATCAGGTGGGGAGAAAATTGAAGGGACCAAATTACAAACAGATAGAATAATTAAAACTATATCCCTGTCCTATGCCATATTGAAAATATTTCAAATTAACCGTTATGCACACTGTTTCCCCAAACTACCAAAAATGGGCGTTCAACACTTAAAAGGTTAAAATGTCCTTTGACAGAACTGGTTTAGGGCTGCTGCAGAAATACCTGCTCGGAGCAAACGATCAGAATTGAAGAGTACAAAATCAGACAGGAAGAGAAGCGCGACTGGGAAGAGGGGAGGAAGGAAACCGAAGGAGAGAAGTCCAGAACTTTCTCGAAAAGACAAGGAGATGGCAGCAGCAACGAATCACACAGATCATATAGCCACAGAAGGACCCAGAGATTCGAAGAGCAATTGCAAAGTGAAAGGGAAGGTTGTTGCATCCAGCAAAAAAGGGGGAGCAAGCAAGAAATCAATGGAAAGTCAACTTAAAGGTAAAGCTTCCGTACTCTGAGGAAACGTTACACCAGACTTCAAGTACTATAAGTGAGGGGTGATGGTGTGACATAAAATAACTACATGTGTGCTATCACCTACCTAGAAAAACTAACCCAGAGAATAAAGCTGTGTGTTCGAAGATTGAAAAGCTAATGCTTACAGCTGGGTTAAAATTGGACACAGGGACAGAAATGCTCTTGTTTAGCACAAGGCATTGTAACACTCTGAAATATCCTTTTGTTAATGTATACACTGCTCTATGTGACTCAAGAGTTTACATTAAGTTTTTTTTATATAAAAAATGAACTTTTTGATGCAGTGCCACTTAAGGAAAAAAATATTTTATGCTATGTAGCTACGTTTAAGATGTTGGTTTATATATAGTATTGGATTGTAGCTGAGTTTATTAATTCAGTACTTTATCTCTAATCAAGAATTTCTCTATTATTTAAAACACAATTTGAGTAAATATATTGTTGCCCATATATCTTAGTTTACATTTATAAATGTTATCGATATAAACTAATTCTGACAGACTGGCAAGGAACAGTTGTGGTTCCCATCTTGCAGAAAGGTAACCAAATCAGATCTGGGAAACCACAGACCTATTAGCCTGACCTCATCAATTGGCGAACTCAAATAACAAGGAGTTAATCATAAAAAGCAAATCAAGGATGACTTGCATGCTAATAACAAGAATAAATGACAGCTAAAATGTTTCCGGAAAGGGTAGGTCACTTGGACATTTTTGGCGAGATGACATCTCAATAGGGTATGCTATACTGTGTCTAGACTTCAAAAAGACGCTTGACAAAGTACCAAACAACAAACTCCTTTGTAAATGGGTGTTAATGGGTATGAACTGCCTAAAGGGAATGAAACAAAGGATGATTCTTTGGGTAGCGAAGTCAAAATGAGATGATTGAGATGTGTCAAGGGATCCACCTATTCACGTACACATACGTTACCTGGATTAGCAGACACAGTGCAAACCAGTTATATTTGCAGATGACACTAAGATAGCAATCCTTGTGGTAACAGAGGAGGCAGCCAAGATTCTTGAGACCCAGGAAGTGTTAGTTGACTTGTCCCTCACTGTGTCCAAATACAAGGAGGCAGCAATAGACAAGGCACACTGGATGTTGAGCTACATTCACAAGTTAGTTGTGTTCAGATCCCCTGGTACAAAAATCTGAAGGGCGGACACAAGAAGGTATTTGTACAGATAGTAACAGCTGCAACAAGTTACTAGGAAGGGTGCTGGGAGGCCAGGACACTGAACTCATTTAAGAAACCTCTTGATACTGTGGTAAGAGGAGGTAGGGTTGGTATTCTGGAAGGATGAGATCAAATGAGCAGAAGGGATTTCTTTATCTGAACCTCTTGTGATTGTGTAATGCTAATGTATAGAAATAGAGTGTATGTGTATACAGTACATGTATATTTATAGGGGAAAAAAATAACTGAATTGCAATCCAGAATTTTGTTTGAAAGAGGGTTTCTTTGTGTTGTCTGATGACAAATGTAGTGTTTAAGCTTTATTCCTATCTTCGCTTCTGCATTCAAATCCTCCCAGAATGTTTTGATTCATAGTCTTGAGTCTGTAGCATCTAAAGGGATTTCAGCACTATTCCCTGGTTCGGTTCTATTTTAAACCCGAATGAGGCAGGTCCCACAGATGTTAGTATTTTGTGCATAACCTTGATTCTGGCTTCATGTTGAATTGGAATGCTATGCATTACTGGTTACCTATTAATGAATTAACCAAATCCGTAATTCACACTGCTTCTACAAAGAAACCAGACATTAAGGTTATGAACAAGAAATATACCCCTTATATAACGAATGTAACCACTGGACTATTACTGTTAAAACTAATCAGAACCTCAGGAAGATTCAAGGCCATGACTTAAAAGACTTTGGATGANTTTTTTTTACAAAACTCTGAAGGTAAGAAACTCACTCATCAGCTTTGTAAGTCATTTCATTCTTGTTTTAAATAGTAAAGAAATTCAAAGAACTGATTTAGGAATCAGGGAAAACAGCATAAAATATTATTAATGCAGTTAAATAGGATTTTAAAAGAAAAGCTTTTGTTTTGATACAGTTGCTACCCTATTACTCCCTTGTTAGCCCAAATCTATTTAAATTTAATCAGAATGCACTTTGCATGACATTAATCTATATTTCTTTAGATCAATATCTATGATTTTGGGCAAACCTCTTGACTCCATGGTTTATTAACTTAATTTTTATCCAAAAGTATGCAATTCACTAAGAATTTTAGATTTTTTTAAAACAAAATTGGAAGAATACCGGGCAGTGGCAGCATCAAAGGCAACCTCACGATGACTAGACCTTAATGTTGCATTTAGAGCTTCTACATTGCTCCAATGGGCCACTGAAATGGTGATGAAATTTACTATGACAAATATTTAATACTTGACAGTGGTTCTAATCCTTGGTGTACATCTGAAATATGAATGTATAAATTAAGTGGGGTAAACACATCCTTTCCAAATGGGTACATAGAATATGCACTTTAAGCTTCCTTCTTTAATTAGATGTATGGCTGGATAACTACGTAGAAATGTATATTGCTGCCAATTCTACAGGTTTCCATCTGTGTCCAGCTTAAAACTTAAACCAATTTAATGATCCATGTATACAATCAAGTATCAACGTAAAACTTTGATTCATTGAATGAGCTACCATGTGTGCTCGAGGCCTAATTTAGGCCATAATATAAAAATAAATAACTTGAAATCTTACTAATAAGGGTTTCAAGATGTGCACTTTCTAATACCTGAAGCATGTTTAAAAAAAAACATTGAGCTAAGGTGTAGTTAATTGGTCTCAATACACTATATCAAATGGTGATAGGATGTGGTTTGGTATTGCGAACCTTGACATGGTAAATTCCTAATCTCAGTTGTATAGATTTTTAACATTATTATTACGCCTCCCCCATATTCTACCTTGCATTCCTTGTTATCTTCCTCAGTCAGTCGGGATAGTGGCATAGCCCTGAAAATGGACCATATCCATGCCATTATGTAGGCAACCCACTAAGAGATGTGTCTGAGCGACTCAATTAGGAATGCTCCTTTGCTAATGTTATGTTTTCTCTCTTTGATGACCGTGAACAGAAGCCCAGGTGCAAATATTATTGAAAATTGGAATTCAAACATGGCTTTCCCTTTTGAGAGTCCAGTGTTTTACGCACTGCAGCAATTTGACACATTAACCTTCACTTTTGCACTCATGGTTGCTGCAAAGCAGGTGGATATGTTATTGCACTAAGGGGAAAATTATTTTTTTTAATAAAAAAACTTTAAAGACGCAAGCGCCCTTCGGGCAATGTGCACTAAATAGAAAAAAAAAACTGTTTAAGACAGACTGTTTTAATGTTGAACAAAATGTGATATCTTTTTCAATTCTTCACGGTGATTATTTAACTTGTAAGATGAACACTATGATCTCTTTTTGTATGTATGTATATCCATGTATGTATGTATGGATGGAAGTATTGACTTGTTCATTAAGGTGAGAGTTGACAGTGCTGGGTAGGAATATGCACAGGGTTTGCCAAGGGACAGGACTTTCCTTTAACAAAGGTTGCACAAACTGGTGAACTTGAAAGAAACAACCGATTCCAATTCCATTCCACAACTTGGGAGGGCAGCCCACAGCCATTGAGGTCAGAGAATAAGGGCTTGGACTACTTCTTGCACATTAGTGGGCTTTAAGGAATGGACTACTTTCTTAACAATGTTTACTGTGCGTAGAGTTTTTAAGAAATCAACCGCAAATTGAAATCTCCCTAAACTTTCCAGTATCGTTTACAGCGATTGACTGCTTCTTCAACAACATGAATGTAATTGTGTGTTGACATCACAGAGTGAATTGGCAAGTCAATTCAATGCACCAACGGTACAAAGAGAGAGTCGCTCTCTCTCTCTCTCTCTCAGTGGCACAATTGGTAAAATAACTGCTTGAAATAAAACTGAGGCACACACACCCAAAAGATCGCAGATTTTGGGGGGGAAAAAATTCTATCTGGATCTACATTTGCTTTTATTCACGTAGCGGATTGGAGCGTCCCAGTATTTGGCAAATTCTTTAATTAAGTCTTTAATTTTTACTCGACTTCAAAGTAGAGACTGAATTCAACAATTTGGCGGTTTCCGGATACTCTAAAAGAGTTAATAGAGTAAATCTAGACGCATCAGGGATTTCTACCCATTTAATTCCCAAGCCCATTTATTCCCAAGTCAGTTGAACTCAGCTGTAGCGCAGTGGCAATTGTAATTGCATTCTGTGCCAGAGGAAATTATTGATAGAGAAAATTCTCCTCTCCACAAAGACACTAATAATAATTTCTATTGGTTAAAAAAAATCTGCAATAATTTAAAACATATATTTATAATCTACATCAACTAACGATTTTTGACATAACCCAAAACTCTCAGTCAGATCGATGCATTGTAATCACTACCAGGTATTTACTGTTCTCTATATTGTGCTGCAAGTGACACAATTAAACATGGGCCAGTCACGATACCGAACATATAATACAGGGTTTTCTGTGTTGCCATAAATGTCCTTCAATTTAAGAAGAGCACTATGACTAGGTCCGATTATGATACCTCTAATCTCTCATTCCCTCCGCTCTATCCTTGTGGCCTTTCTGAATGAGTTTGCCCAATTAGTGCTGAACTGTTGGGTGGATTTTGTGTTGTGATTTTGTATGCCCTGGAAGCTAGAATAAGACTGAATTGTCTTATAAATCACTTGTAAATTTATTGTTTACAAGTTATGGGTCTGTTCCACCAGTGTAATCCTAGCCATAGAAATAGTACTGGGGCCTAATTTTACCTATAATTTGATTTATAGTACTGCTGAGCATAATATAATTGCATATATCTATATTAGAAGTATCGTGTTTTTTGAATAGACTTTTATAAGACCAGGGAAACCTTTTTTGCACCTAAATGCACAAGAACTGTAGTAGGCGTACACATGAAACTGCTGCCATAATCCCAAATACATATGGAAAACAGAGCTTCAACTTGAGATATAAGATTAAACATTAATAGTCTGTAGAAAAGGGGTCTGACTTTAAAAGTTCTTGGCTGTTACAAATGAAATGGTTGTTTATTGTTAGTGTCAAGAGAGTGTTTTGACAATGGTATCAAACAGCACCAGTTCTGGCCAGCTTTACTGCCAAACAGACCATTAACAGTGTCTGTCCTATATTGGCACCATAAAGCAGTACATCATTTCAGTGACTCTGCTGTTCCCATAGTTTTGCTTTGCATAATCTGCATTGCTTTTTACCACAGTTTTGTACCCTGTTGATGATGTATGTTTATTTATATGCTCCAATAAAAAACACTCAAAAGAGAATTTGATTCATAACAATTCATAGACCTTATTGTGTCATGTATATTTCTATAACCATAACTAGAACGATGAAAGACGGTTAATGTGTTAGTGCTAGGTTACAGAATGACAAACTAATTGTGACCGAGAGGATGTTCATTTTCTTCCAAGGTACTTTTAAATTGTAATCAAATAGTTTTTCTGTTGTATTACTTGCTTACGAACTCCCATCTCCATTAATAAAGTAATATTAAATGATGGCAAAGTTTGTTCATTTTCATGTTGCACTGAACATTCACTGATCACTTAGATGCAGAATTTATTGGTATATCATGAAAAAGGAGATAAATAGTTAGGAAGTATGAATATTAAGTAAATTCAGAGCCATTATGTTCTCACACATGTTCTTACATATGTTCATGGACGCAGGGATGATGGTGAGAGCTTTAAATCATCAATTAAATTAAATATTTTAATACAATACTTGTACAGAATAACAGTAACTTTCTTAATAATATCGTTAGGAAGCAGCATCACTGGAAGGCTTATCTGGACAGATTTATCCTATTCTGATAATTTTCTACTATATTTCAGATCATAATAGAAAAAGTGACAGATAGCACTTGTGTTCCAAAGGCAATAGGTGGCATTTTTTTGGATAGGGTTCCAATAAAAATATTTAGTGTACTAATAACAGTATTTTAAAATATTCCTATGTACAAAATAAAAAAAAGGAGTTGGATTGGTATATTCTATTATCTTATGATAAAATGAAGGTGTCAGATTGCAGTGATTGAGGCTCGAACCTTATCATTCTTAACAAACTGTACTCCATCCTAGTAATTGTTTCAGACAACTTTTACTGCATCGAGATATCAAGTTCTGAGTTATCACGCCACACCACAAAACTATCATTTCACACTTTGAAAAACTCAGTGTTATATATTAAGTAAAAATGAATACAAAATTGTTTTTTTTTAAAAAAACTACAGATGCTGGAACTGTGAAATAACACCAGAAACATCAGAAATAGACAGCAGTTCAATCTGCATCAGAAAGAGAGAACTGTTCTGACAAAAGATCATTGACCTGAAACATTAACTCATTTCCTCTTTCCATAGATGTTGCCTGACCTGCTTAGTCTTCCCAGCAACTTCTGTTTTTATTTCAGATTTCCAGCATCTGCAATATTTTTCCTCTTTTTAGATTGAAAGATTGATGTCTATTGATTGACCTCTTGTGGATTTCCAAAGGTTTCATTTTTTTCATTTTAAACAATAATTTAGGTATTTTGTGTTTACCAGAAAAAATGACTGCAGCTCATTGTCCATGTGGAGGCTGACAAAAGAGGTTTACTGTGTTGGTGTTGAACACTTTTTATAGTCCCAAATTATGAGTGGCAACCACTTACTTGGAACCAAAGTCATCACCTTATACAGTAATTGACTTAACTGTATCCTGTCTCTTTTATTAATCTTGTCTTTGTGCAGGGCACACCTCAAGAAAAAAGAAATAAAATGCAACAATTATCAATTTCAAAATATTGCTTGTGGGAACAAAACAATTGATGTGTAATAGGTTTGGTTTCAACAAAATAAGTGTACAACAACAACTTGCATTTATATAGCACCTTTCATACAGGATACCTGCACTGCTGGCATCTGAAATTAGAAGATTATAGAGGAGGTTTTTGCAGATGTTATGGAGAAAGGTAATTGTTTAAAAAAGAAAAGGGCGAATCTCATTGCCCTCATCGTGGGATTTGAGTTGACTGAAACTGTTTTTCTTATCAAACAAACCGTTATATAACTGATTCTGTTTTTGGAGGCCGATCATAAATGCCAGCCCTAGATTCTGTATTTTGCATTGGAAAAAAAAACATTATCAGTTACTGGGCTCCAATGTTCTATGGTCCTATCTTGCAAATCTTCAATAGATGTTCCTTTGAGAGCAAGTGGACAACAGGCAGTGTGTACTAAGAGTGTCAAATGTATGACAAAGTGATAAGGGTGACTAACCATGCTAGGTTATCTGGTCACTAATCTAGATAATCAAAGGTCGAAAAAGTTGAAAGATTAGGGTTTCTGTATAACGGAAAAACCTTGAAAAGAACAAAAGGAACCATGGCAGTCAACAGGAAAACTGTTAAAGAGCAACTAGAGACAGGTAAGCAAAACAACTTCTACTTTGTGTTTATTCATACCCTTTTGATACCCATTTATAGTGTCAAATCAGCGGGTATCTCCGATTGTAAGTAACTATTTGTGCATTCAGTAATCACTATCTTTTTGTTTTTATATTGTTGTTAGTCTGGTTGCACAC